AAAAAAAAAAATAGACCGGCAGAAACAGAGAACCGGGAAGAAGTCATCTACACGACAGTAGAGCTCTCACAGGTTATCAAACCCCCTCTATCCATGAAGCATCAATACCCACAAATCTACACCCCCGTCCTGATATACCCCAAAACCCATACGACCCTCCGCGAAGCAGCCCACTCCCAGCACTCACCATTCCCTCACCCACCTCATCCCCAACCCAATCACCGCCCCCAAATCCGCAACCAGCACCATCGCAAACGCCATCAACATCCTCGGCATAAAAACCCTATAAAGCATAAGATGCCTCCTCAACCACGCACATCCCATCGTCGTCGCAACCGCAATCGCCGCGTGTACCAACAGATAGCCCGCCAAAGCCCTATTTCTACTCACAAAAACCGTCGTAACCACCACCCCGGCGAAGGCATTCAGACCCACGGCGAGGGGGCTTATAGGGTAGACAATCCCCTGGGAAAAGGTGAATGCCACCTCCCACTGTATACTCGCTAGCACGGCCTGGTGGCCTGTTTTGAAGACTGAGAAGAGGCCCATTAGCGCGGGGAGGGCTGTGGGGGTGGGGGTCGTGATTGCCGCGAGGTTAAGGAGGGAGATGAGGAGCATTGCTAGGGCAAACTGACCCATTGGTTTTTGGACGAGGAGGGGCAGCAGGAGGAGGAGGGATGCTTCGCGGTGAGCGTAGAGGGTTAGGAGGATGAGGACTCCTCGTGCGAGGATGATGCGGGTGGACTTGAGGTAGGGGGTTAAAGTGTCGAGCCATTGGCCGTCGTCGGCGGAGTCGAGGAGCCAGTACGTTGTTATGAGGGTTAGGCCGAGGCGGAGAGGGATGCTCCGCGTTTGGGAGCGGTAGAGTTTGAGGATTTTAGGAAGGAGGAGGGTGATCAAGATTGGGATGGAGAGCTGCCAGATCGCGGAGGTTGAGGATGTGGCGGACGCGTAGAAGGTGGATTTGCAGTAGGGCAGTTGCTCTTCGCGGCAGAGGCGGGATAGGGACGCTAAACGCGTGGTGATGAGGAAGGAGAGGGCATTGAGGGTGGATTTCTTTCGCGTGTATGGGTTGGGTTCGCGGAGAGAGGCGAGTAGGAGGAGTATGCCGAAGGTGGTGAGGAGGTATAAAAGGATCTCGTCTTCCCAGATTGTGAATGAGTTTGCGCCGAAGCTGAGGCAGAGTAGGAGGGTTGCAACGGTGCTGGTCCAGCTGAAAAAGGTGCGTGGGAAGGGTATATGGGACACACTTCGCATTGGAAGAAAACTTCCTACTAGACCGAGGATGGAGGCTGAAGAGACCACGGCTGGTAGCACAGGCTGCGTGAGAATTTTGGCTACTAGGAAGCCGACTAGACAGCCCAGTATCAGTCCACTCATGCCCCATGTTAGGAGAGAAGGCGTAATGTCAATATCGGTGCCATAGGCATACATGGCCAAGAGAGCAAAAGTGGCGAACAGGACTGCGATTCCCATAGCGATCCTCACAAGGTCGAAGCTCGCCCAGAGACTGCGACATATCCTCAGATTTTCCGCTTGATATGCTGTGTAGGCGTCATGGACAGCACTAAAGGAACCCGTTGGGACCCTTTCTGCCTCGCCCCAAAGCAGCGAAGCAGCAGAATCATCGTCTCCAATTCCACGTGCAACGAGATATCGATCTTGATACCTTTTAATTTGCGAAGCAGTAATTTTACTGACTGTGGCCTGGTTGGAATAATCCATAGATGGGCCCAGGAAAGCATCCTCGATGGGCTGGCCAAGATTATTGAAAGGAATCGGTAAGCCCAGCAAGAGTGACAGAGTGGGCACAATATCAATTTGACCCACGAACCTCTCTTTTGCCGTCAGCGGAGGCGGAGAACCTCCACTAAAAACATCTCGTTTTGAAAACATCCAGAGTGCAGCCTCAATTTCATCATCCGACTCGCCGCCATGATCACCTTTGATATCCATTCCGTGATCGCCCATGACGACCAAAAGCGTATCCTCATCGATAGTCTCCACCATTCTCCTTAAAACACGATCCATCTGCATCAGTTTATCCCTCATGGCGGGATGATCCGGCCCATATCTGTGACCCGCGTGATCCACGCCCAGGTAATGTGCCACGATGAGATCCCAACCCTCCCCCATCTCTAGCAAAGGAAAGAGATGCTCGTTGACGCCATTATCCACGGTGTGCAAATCCCACACGTTGAACGAGTCATAGGGTTTTGTGAGGTTCATATCAAAGTAACCCGGGAAAAGTGCATGCCACGTATCATCGCCGAGATGGACGATCCTCTTGCCTGCACGATAGAGCTGTTCGACCCAGTTGTCCTCGTCAACTGCCGTGCCTGCAAAGTTTGATCCCGCATCGATAAACGTTGGTAGCGTACCCGTTGTGAGGCCCTTTAGCCTCTGCAGGGTGGTTGTGGGCGGGTCAGCGATACACGGACGCAGGAGGGCGTTATGTGGACGCTCGACGGCCGTCTCGTAGAGCACGGGAAGCGCATTGTGGAAGTATGCGTCGTCCTCCGTGGGAACGGTGAAATCGTACCGTAGGGCGTCGATGATCACAAAAACAGCTCGATTGAAGGTCTTGGGGTGCCAACACCCATCATCTACGCTCCCAACACTTTTAACCGCCGTCGGGGCATGCCCACATTCTGACCGGTCTGGGAGGACCAGACGCGAGAGTAAGAAGCCGCTGCAGAAGAGGTAGATACCGAACACGTGGAAAACGCTGAACAAGTCAGCCTGAGGCTGGGATAGATTGCGTGTTGATGCCTACGTAACGAGAGTAAAGAAGACGGCCGTTAGCCCATGTTGCTTCCCAGCCCCCTTGCGGGCATCGTCCATGTCAACTGAGGTGAGGTCAGCCGGCGGGGAAAGTGTGCCGAGCCCTGCCATTTTGGGAAGGAGCAACTTTTTTTTCTCGAATCAACATCTGAAGAATACATATACCGCTTCATCCCGCTCGATGGAACGGCCACAAACGCCACATAGAAGACAGTAAAGCAGAAATTTTGGGTATCAGTCCACTGTCAGAATTTTAAGTCTTTTCCTTCTCAACCAGCCCTCCGACCTGGTCCAGTTCAACATTTTGTGCTGCTTGCCCATCTCCGTTCACAGCTCCCTGCCCCCCCGAAACGGGTTCAAGCCCGATGCTGGTATCGCCCACTCTGACGACAACTACGCGACCCGAATGTCGCTTGCCCATCGAGTCGAATTCCTCTGGAAAGGTGATTCGGATCTCCGGAATCGAGTTGGATGATATTGACGGAAGGACGGCCTCGGGGCTGAGCTTTTCCTTGTCATGGTACAGGTATACAGACGGCCGGACTACCGCGCGATGCTGAGAGGTCGTACTT